TGTTTAATGCTAGCTGTTGCATGTTCTGCGTTTATCGTCTTTGCTGCTTTGGAATACGGATGATCTTACTTTGGATTTGTCTTTAGTTTAGCTCAATAAACCTGCAAATTACCTAAATACCCTAAGCATACTTTAGCATTCTTCCCCAAATAATTAATGAAAGTACTAAAAACTCATTTTTAAACTAACGGTTAGGTATATATAAATTGGAGAATAGGTAAAATAACATGTTCTAGTATAACATGGTGTCATGAATAGGACAGTAAAATATCAAATACAGAAATGAGAGCTATTATCTGCAGTCTACGTTTAAATAAAAACAAAAACGATTTAAGTGTGGGAGAGCCATGCTTCGGCACGAATGGGTCGGCTCGACCAGAATGATACCACGGCCTCACAGAAAACCGGCGTGAAATAACCACTGCGTTGTGTTTCGCCGTGTGAGTGAGGTTACCGGAGGCCCAATCCTTCCCCTTCCCCAATTCCTCCTCAATCCCTAATCTCTTAAAGGTCGGCAACGCACTCGTAACTCCTCCGTTGCGAGTGTCCATGGGCGGCGCTGATTGCTTACCATCAGGTAATCCGTCTGCTCGTTTGCCGACCTACCACATAAAAAAAAAACGAAGTATTGCTCTCCAAGCCAAACTATGGAATAGTCTGCATAAAGGAGTAATAGTTCCTTTCCCTCATTTAACATGTAGATTATACACATTTTCTAAGTTAACTTTAACGTGTGAAGTCGACACACAAGTATAGGTATATAGGTACGTAAGGAGGCACGAACCGTGCGAACTTAGGTTAAGCAATTTATTGGATTTAACCCATCATTGCTGGCAACTATCTAGGCAAGATAGCAGACGCACCGATGTACGAAACTTTGTAGATAGTTGCCGTAAATTACTGACAAACTGAAGACATTGGCGATAAATTCTGGAGTCAATTGACTTCCTCAAGTATTTCTGTAGATACTTAATCTGGATTCTGGATGATCCTAATTCGTAATTGGGTACATTTAGGCAAAAATTCGTGAATCATTTTGACTTTTCAATGCAATGAAATATTAAAAATAATCATTGTAGGTAGGTAGTACCTACCTACTATATATTCTTTTCTATTTGATTTTCCGGGTTTTATTATTGTTAATTATTCAGCTGTTTGACTAAACGAAACGTTACTTCACAACAAACTCAACAACAAACAAATTCCTTTCGATATTTTCCAAAAATAGGTTACCTAGACGTTTCTTTTCTATTATTCCATACAGTTTTCTAGGACACATTATTTTATTCTTTATTTCGTTTATTTTGCTATATTTGGTCTGTATTTAATTGACACCTATATTCTCCGAAATATTTTTAATAAAGTACTAATTATTTATTAAAGAAATAGGTGCGACTGTGCGAGTTGTTTAAGTAAAATATTATTTATCTCGTTCTCTCTCTTATGACATAGAATTCATAAAGTAGGATTGTGACTGCGTGAGAGTAAGATTAATCAAGATTTAGGTACAAGTTTATGTTTTTATTTAGTTTTAATTAGACACTCAGAGATAGAGGTTATTATAAATCTCAATTTTATTTCCCACTATGATTCATTGTTTAGGTACAAAGTAAATCGCATTTAAGTCATTAATTCTTTTTAGAACACAATGACATTTCATAATTCAAAATTTGAAACTGTTTCATATGTTTTTCTTTTTTTTTGTTTTTTTTTGACACAATGCACTGGTTTAGCGGATACAAGTTCTGCCATGCGTCCTCCATGCTCATACGTGTGCAGTTCAGTTAAAATGGCTGACTCACTTGTCCCCATTCTGCTCTACTGGCCAAGACTTTCACTACGCGCTTGTATAAGATGTTGCTTTAAGACGAATCTTTTATTGGCCTTTTTATTGATTGTTGCAAAATATTTACTGGACAATATTGATCGGTAAGTAGGTGACTAGTAATAAAACTGAAATAGGCTTTAGGAATTGTTTTTTTTTTTGAAATACGCAATTCTTTAAAAATGGCGATCGCCAACCGTGGTGACTGTAGGTACATATAAGCTAGGGAGGTTTATAGATATAATTTTTATGGTACTGCAGAAGTAGGCAATATCTTCACAGAGATGGAGGAAGCTATAGTATCTATATTATTATATTTTGAGCGTTTACATAAAAGCTTTTGTATAGTCTTGTATTATTTTGTATAGAATACGAAGTCGTTTAACATCGTACAATAACTAGAGCTCCAATGGATGAATGAGGTACTGCATTGTGTTCCTTTAGAAACATGTTGTAAATAACGAATTGTTTGCGGTACTTACATACCAATACATACTAACACAATCACAATGACTAGGCACTTTCTGCTGAATTGACGTTGACGTTGAAAAATTGGGATTTTCCTTACTATGTCGTCTATCGATTTAACATATTTGTAATCTACCTATGTATACTTTTTATTATATAATATTATAAAGCTGTAGAGTTTGTTTGTTTGTTTGAACGCGCTAATCTCTAGAACTACAGGTTCGAATTGAACAATTCTTTTTCGTTTGTTAGTCCATTTATCGAGGAAGGCTACTCGTATAGGCCATAAAACATCAGGTTACGATATGTAAGAGCCGAGTAGCGGGTGAAATCGCGGGACAGAAGTATTTAATTTTTTTTAAGGGTAAAATAAAAAATGTCTTCTCTCGCCCAGGGTGAGGCCAATGTAGGTACAGATACCGTAAAAAAATTGTGCATTGGAAACTATGGTCTTTGCAGACAGACATCATCAAAACCCAAGCCATGTCAGTAACCAGGAAATGTGCACCAAATAATGGGACAAAAACAAATCATGTTTACGATGATCGTATGGTGTTAACTGCACATTGTTTTTTATTTAATTGCTTCTGTATATAGCGGATAATGGGTTAGTGTAGTGTGACAAAAGGCCAGACATACAAGTCTTACTGGTACATGAATAATGGACTCTATATGTTATTGTAATTGATGTTATAATCACGTAACCATGACTAGTATCACAAGATACCTATTTATAAAACGTATGCTGTAGTTCGGCACAGAGAAGTTAGAAGGATGTGCTTGTGTGGATGGTGCTCTTTAGTCAGTACTTAGATAAAAGTCTGACGGTCCTTTTGCAGAGTTAAAGACGTGTGTTTTTTTATTTAATAGGTCAGCAAACGAGAAGACGGATTACCTAATGGTAAGCAATCAGCACCGCCCCTGGACACCCGCAACGGAGGAGTTACGAGTGCGTTGCCGACCTTTTAGGGATTAAGGATTTGGAGATTTAGGGATTGGGGAAGAGGAAGGATTGGGCCTCCGGTAACCTCACTCACACGGCGAAATACAACGCTGTGGTTGTCTCACGACGGTTTTCTGTGAGGCCGTGGTATCACTTCGGTCGAGCCGACTCATTTTGAGAGGGCATTTGTCTGCCATCTTTTCCCTTTTCGTCTAGTCCCTGATAGTTTCTTTGATTCTTAACACAACATAAAAAGCCGCAGAAAAGTGCTGTGCGGTTAATCTAGGAGCAACATCCCTTTAAATTGACATCTCTTTAGAATCGCTTAATGGCTTTACTTATCTAATATTATATATGCGAAAATGCGTTGATTGTTTGTCTTTATTTGGCTTTGCAAAATCCTCTTTAATCCAGTAGACTATAGAGAGACATTGGCTAGGTTTACTCCTTGGACAACGGAAAGTACCTACTTATACAACTTTTAACACTATCGTATACAAAAATCCACCTTATTAGGTAGACAGGAAACCATGCTTTTTATATCCTTATAAAGGTTTTCCATACGGGTGATAATGCAAATGCACCGAAAACAGGTATTATGTCCCACGGGACGTCGCGATTCGGGACTAACGGGATCCGAGGAGCAATGACCCATCAGCTCCACTTTCCAATCGTAACTGCCAACGTGTATTTTTCACAAAAAAGTTTTTACTGTGGTAACGAAGTTTTTACTGGAAGATTTTATGGGAGTACATAAATTCGAAGACCAAAATAAAAAAGATAAGGTTCTTAATAATAAATCATCCTACTAACATTATAATACGCAAAGCTTGTAATATTGGATATGTGGATGCTTCTATGTAACTACAGAAATTATAACTCATAAAATCTTATTGGTATAAGTATCCCATTTTTTGGTACAGTATGTTTGTTTAGCTTCATTGATATTTCCTTCCTTATTCCAAGTTTTTCTTACGAATCAAATCCTACACCATTCAGTCACCGTGCAATCGTAATTGCACTCTCTTCAGCTATGATGCAGCTGGTAGCTGGTGGCTATATTACTATTGCTTTTATCTACTGTACATAGGCAACAATAAAGATGTTTGAAAAGGAAGCTCGATTGTCAATATCGCGGTGAAACTCTGATGTTTGTTAGAAGTTTTCTTAAATAAACCTTCTAGTTATTGTAATAAGTAGCAAACTAGATTGTCAATAAAATAAACAAAAGACCATCGTACGTATGTCCTGAGTAGTGTGAGTAGGTACCTACGTATTTTAAACCTCCTTACTGAAAATACAATATTGTTGATTTGACAAAAGTTGAGTAAGTTATTTAACAAGTTATTACGTTCCGGGGTTGTTTTAAGTATCTTGGTTATTCAGGTATTAAGTATAATATACTTATTATTAAAATATATTATATTTTAATTGTTATCGAATGTGATTGCATATTAACAGTGATGCGATTTTAGGTTGACGGTAATGACGTTGTTCATTAATTTATGTTAAAAATCACGTACAAGAACAAAACAAACAAAAGCTACATGCTTCAATGAAATAAAAACAAACTTTTGAGCATCTATCGTTCAAATCTAAATCAATTTTCTTTAGGCTTGTTTACCATAGTTGCAGGGCAATACCCTACATATAAAAATACCATTATAAAGGTACTTTATTCCGTGAATCACAGAGGGCTTGCCGTATGTCGCAATATTTTGGGAGCTAACGGTGAGAACTGGGTGCATCGACCGAAGAGAGCCAGTACGACTTGGTTTACGTTTATCGAGTGACGTGCCGAGAACAGTGGTGTTCACCCTAGAATTATTGAAAATGTGACCGGTTGGACCGTAATTGGTGCGTTTACCTAGACATAGTTTACATTCACAATGGAGGACGATGTTTACGCGCGCTTATTAACTTTTTTTATTTGTTTCTTTTTTATTCTTGCATTTTAGTCTGGACCTTTTTGCGTGTTATCAATTTCTATTTGTTAAAATCAAGATTATGGGCGTGCTTTAGAAAAATAAGAGTCGGTATTTAGATTTCATAAGTGAATGTAATATTTTATCAAACTCAAGTCGCTTCTAAATGGTAATTTTCTTGAGAAATAACCCATTGAGTGGACTTTTTCAATAGCAAATTAGAAATGCCCGCCGGTACTTAATGTCTAGTCGGTAGTTGTGTTGCTTTGTTGGTACTTCTTGAGTTAGTTGAGTAATGAGCCTCTATACATTGCATTAGTTCTTCTGTTATAATTTATAGTAGGGTTGAAGCTGAGAATTAAGTAATATTATCTGATATAGAATTAAGTATTTGATTATCTATTATATCTTTAAATATAAAAATGAGTTGTTTAATGCTTTGGTAAGTGCATAACTCAACAATGCCTGGACCAATTTTGATAATTCTTTTTTTGTTGTGTTTGTTATTGTCAGAAGGTTTATGGAAAAGAAGGTAGATGGGTAAATTGTAGGTATATGTGGGTAAATATATAGCCTTTTCCTCGTCAGGGAGCCAATTTAATACCCGCCACTTGTCTTTTATTAAATGGTTTCCACGCAAAGAAAAAATAAAAGTCGTATTTTATCCACACACTTCAATAGAGAATAGAGATTTAACTTCAATGGAGAATAGACTGACAGACTATTATTTCTATTTTGATGTTTCAAAAGCACCTGTTTATGGTTTAGTTGGTTGGAGTAAACGATATTGACATTGACTTGAATCTTGACTAGACCTTGTTTGACTTGGAGGTTTTTACTAAAGAACAGAAACTTTGTATTCTTCAAAGATAAGTATTTAAAAAGTTTTCTTGTGGATGACACGAAAAAATACAGTTAGTTTTTTCCATCGTTGACGATGAGGACACAGTTTAAGTATATAACAGACATGTTTTAAAATTCACACTTAATCTACAAAGTTAATTTCGTCTTTATTAGTTATTCAACGAAAACTTCCATGTAGGTACGAGTACATGACGCATGTAACGAATTACCTTATGTACTTAAGATTGCGTGATCCTCTTCGCATGATCTCGACTTATTAAAAACTTGGATTAATTATCTATACACACTACGTTGACCCAATATCTAAAACGTGAATTTAAAACAATTATCGTACCTACATGTAATACCAAGTTGATAGACATGTTTAAATTAATACTGGTATTGTAATTATTGTTTGGTTAATGAAGAATGTGGTTTGAAGTTTACTTTTAAATTGTTTGGTTGGTTGATGATATAAGTTGAGCGAATAATATTGATTTTACACTTCGTTTTGTGTAAATACTTACCTAATTTGAATGGGTTGAGTTTTTTTTTTCGTAATTTTTTTTTGGCATGTGTTTAACATTGTCGACGTAGGAGTACAATACTCGTAAAGTAGTCAATATTTTATTTGGATACATTTCCAACTAATTATGACCATATTTTGTTATTAAGTTTTTTTTTAATATGGCAACAATTGAACATCCTTCAACAATATAACAAAATAACGTTACTTCAGAATTTTTAGCACTAATAAAATACATTAGTGCTAAGAAAATCATTGTATTTCATAACCGTTCAATTAAAGTACAGATTTTTTTTAATGTGATCGACAATTAATTTTTCTGAGTGTTATTTGTACTTGAAATTTGTGACGCACCCTTGGCACAGGGGAAAATCAAAGTGTGAGGCAAAGAAATTATTTTCGAAGTTACTCTGCTACGCAGACGTTTATGATTTAAAACAGAAATTCTCAGATTGTATCAGCGTGGTATCTGTTGCGCATCGTTAAATTATTCTAATGGACGTGGAAGATTAAGTAACTGGCCACTCGGGTATGCGATTAAATCTTGAAACACCATAATTTGGTTAAAATATTCGGTAATTCTACTGTACTAGACACACTTTGTTATATTTTTAAGTAACGTTGAACTTAAAGTACTCAAACATCACATAACCAGCCTATAAGTGCCCACTGCTGAGCAAAGGCCTCTTCTCACACGGAGAAGGTTTGAGCATTAATCACTACGCTTGTTCAAGGCGGATTAGCGATTTCAAACTTATAATTAGACATGAAAGTCCAGGTTTCCTCACGATGTTTTCCTTCACCGTATGTCAGTGGTGTCTTAATAATCTTAGAAACTTTATAACTCGGAAAAAGTCACATTGTTTCTTGCCAGTTTTCGAATCCTCTTCCTCGTGCCTGAGAAGCGGGCGCTTTAAACTCCGTTCCCCACGACATTGATGAACTTCAATACTAAGTTTTAAAACAAAACATTATTAAGCGAAACATTCTAGCTTAAAACGTAAAATATACAAAATAAAGTTAAAACAAACGGCAGGAAACTCTTATCCCATGATCACGGCTAAGTACATTGCCATGTATTTTATAAGTCTACACCGGACAATCCATATAACGAAAACAAAGAAAAATAAACCGTAAACAAAAGTCAATACAGTCTAAACTGCCTTTATATATTTAAAACAATGACGTTAGACGTGAATAGGTACTCGATACGTTTGTCGACTCCAAATGGGTTTATTGATAATAACGATAGAACAGTCACTGGCATATCAAACACCGCTTTGTATCTCAGGATACAGACATGGAAATGTACTCTAACTTATAGAACGATAAAAGCGCCTTTTACCCTATTGATTTGCAATTTGACAGCTCGTTACGATGTTGACCGCGCAAAAAATATTTGTATTGTCTAGGTAGATATTTGTTTCCCAAGTTTTTACTTTTAGCTTTTAGAGACCAAATAATAGCATTTAAAGGTACATTTAGCTTGAAGAGAGTATAGAATATTATCAAATTAATTACCATCGTTTTTGTTAAACGCTGTCCCACACAAGGTTTTTCTCCTGTGTCGTGGATGCCTTTAGAAGCATAGTTTATTACATACACATCACACCCAGACCCGAAACATCAATTTTTGGAAACACCACGCCAACCGTGAATAAAGATTTTAATAATTAATTATTTAGATACCTTACGAAAAAAAGGTTGTACGTTTAAAAAAAATAAGTTAACTTTTCAACAGCGTGTTGCAACTAAACGACTGTCTTGGTTTCTGATGAAATCAGCGTATTGCAACAAAACTGATGCGACATCGCTTAAAGAGGCGTGAAGCAATCTGCTATAACTGGTGTGCGTGGACCAGCGACCCTTACGAAGTCCATTGCTGCGTTTAACTGGTTTTAGCGTACCGTTGCGCTTATTGACGGAGCAATGGAATAGTTTTTGGGCCGGGGTCAGGCCGCCAAATGTAGAAGCAATGTCAAGCACCTTTACTGACCAAATTCAAGTCTCTGATGTAATGATGTGACTAGTGTGGACGCTCTTACGTCACCTAATTTTTCAAACATGTCTGGCCACGGATTTGTACTCCTATTAATATTATTATCCATGGTCGGTATGCAAAGGTTTCCTTCTTTAGGTATTTAACCTTTCGAAATGAATTCTAAAACTATAAGTAGTCTAAGTTGGAATCGCCCCGACAAGAGGTGTGATTTTTTAGCTGTGGCAACCCAAAAACGTCAAAATGTAGTTAGGTTAGCTTCAAAAAACGGTAATTTTAAATGTTATCGCCTAGTTACCCACCTATCTACTTATGTGTAAAATGACTATAATTTGAATAGAGAGCAATATTTCGACTAAATTTCTTGTTCCCATTTTTGTCATAAAATACCATCGCCTCGCAATAGACTTAAAGGGGAAAGTGGTTAGTGAAAGTTTTCGTTTTGGCTAACCAGTTTGAAGGTCAACGATGACGGCCGCCGAATTAGAAATTAGAATATTATATTGCCTATGTTTTTCTTCATAAATATAGGTACCTATAGTATAGCTAGCTAGCTAGATAGATACATATTTACGTAGTATGGGATCTTTGTTTGTTTCGTTGTTCTATCTAAAATGCTGAACGAATTTTGATAAACACTGGCGATGGTGATTCTTGCGTTCAGTGCTTATTTTGTAGATAAATGGATATTGAAGAATAGGTGTTTTGTACTTTGTATGGGTTAATTTAATATTTTGATGTGCTTCAATATTTCCAATAGAAATAAACGTAACTAATTAGGGGAAGGGGAAAGAATTAACTTCATTCTTAGTATTCTGTCGTTAATTTTTTTTTTTGATGCTAATAATGTAGCGAAATATTCATACATACCTACATACCTAGGTACTTAATGTTTTACCTATAATGTGACAAAATATATCTTCTGTTCGAAAGGGACTTCAAATCTTAATAAAAAGGGTAATTTAGTTCCGATAGTTTTTATTGCACACTTAGTTTGCATATTTCAAGCTTTATTTACTTATTTATATACATTTTATTTACTTATTTAGGTAAGTATCTATCCTTTCCATTTCACAGCAATATGACACGATTAATTAAGAATAATTTCCCATTTTAAGACTTAAATTATTATGATAAACTTTCACTTTCTCTTTTGGAACAGATTTTGTTGCTATTTACCGTAGTTGGGCGAATTTAGCGTGGGAAATTAAATGGTATTAATTATTGTAAAGCTTATTTTTGGTACGCCAGCTACCATAACTACACAATAAAAGGACTGTCGTTAGTTCATCAAGCTATTCCTAGACTTACAAATTTCGATTTATAACCTTATTCATTTTGTTATGAAGTTGAAATTCCATTAAAGCCCTTTTCGAATTGGGTTATCTTTATGATCAGCCGGCTTTGTAGGTCCTTAACGCATACTACATACATACAAAACTCTCGATTATCTATAAGTTTAGTAAGCTCCTCACGTATATTCGAACAGAATGCTTAATTCTAAACCATTCAGTCGACTCACACCTCACACACACATTTAAGAACTGAATTATATTATTGAAGTCAAGTACACTAGTTTAGTAATTGTTATTGGTGTTAAGTAATGTAAATGAAAAACCAGTTAATCCAGTTTTGACTAGATATGTCAATGTTTGATTTTTAATTATTAGGTAGCTATTTGGCTTGACTTCAAGTTTCGGAACTTAAATTGCAGGATTTTCCTTCGCAGACTTATTATAACAATATTGAAAAATACTTTTACGTAAAGATAAACATACAGCTACATTATTAAATTATGAAATCAAAATATACCTACAGTTACTGTCCGAATTTCTTCAACAAATTAATTTGTTTTGGTGTTTTCCGACCCAGTTTACATAGATATAATTACTTACATAAGTTCGTGTGTTCTCCACAATTATTGAGAAATTTACATATGTAGGTGTACAACAACTCAACAAGCCTACCTACCGATACTTATAAAATTACTAAGCCTTGACCGACAATTGTAAATTATTGACAATCACCAACCTACCTATTAAAGGTACAAAATAATTAGTAAGAGTAGATAAACATGGTTGGTTGCGGGGTAAGCGCAATGAGGCACCGCGGCCTCGGCCCAGAGCAGGAGAAGGAACAGGGGGTTTTTAGTCAGTAAGAGTCTGACACTCCCTCCAGCCCGACCCTGGGCGGAAGAAGTCATTTGATGATTTTACCCTTACAAAAAAGGGTACATGAATATTCGCATTTCTTATGTGATTAGGTGGCAAACGAGCATACGGATTACCTGATGGTGGTAAGCAATCGGTGTCGCCCATGAACACCCTCAACACCAGAGTTACGAGTGCGTTGCCGGTGTTTTGGGGATTAGGGTTTCCGAGATTTTGGGATAGGGTGAAGGGACAGAATTGAGCCTGGGCCACATTATGTTGAAGATTAAATTAAAACATTGGATCCAATGTCGTTAAATAAATTAGGTAGGAATATTTAAATTTTTATTAATTTCATTTATTACGTAGATAAAGTGATAACCACGGAATATGTTCACTACATTTAGATAGGTACAATTTACCTCAAACTTGAGTGATTATTCTACATGAAGCCCATAGACAATTAACTATAATCTAATAAACATTACTTATAGACATCCTACATACATACATTATTATGTAGGTACTTTATAAGTAAATAAGTACTTAATTAGCTAATATTTATCTAAGTACATTTGCGTGTCTTAACACGTAATACGTCTCCCATTCCGAAGAATCTCGAAGGTCGTCCAATATTTGGTTTGCAAATAAATTAGGCATTGTATGTATATCTTAATAATCCGGATGTTTTAGTTGCTTCTTCTTGCACATGCGAAGTAGATTAATAGGTACTTGAAAGGAAACAGACGCATTGAAATCAAACATTTGAAATTCATTTCGAATTTTAGCTTTTTTTTTAAACACTGCCGCACTCTGATTTTCTCCTGTGTCGTAGGTGCGTTTACAAACATATAATTGCACATACACATCACACTCAGACCCTGAGCAACAATTTGTGGATCACAAAGAGTTGTTCCGTGCGGGCATCGAGCCCGCGAGACGTTGCACGGCCAGCCAATCGTACCAACCGTGCATTCAAAGCATGATGCCGACAAATTACAAAACAGTGATAGAATTTTCTCCATGTTCTTTGAATAAAAGGCCCTGATATTCCTTTGCCACTTCTTCGACAAATTAATAAAATAAGTAGGTAAAAAATATTCTTTATTTTGTTGTTACAGATAAAACAAAATGGCGACCTCAGTTCTCCAGCCCGAAGACTGCCGAAGGGAGCACGAGCCAAAACACGAAGTCATCGATGCTCCGAGGCTAACTGATGATGAACGAACGTATCTACTCGAGGCCAAGGAGCGGGAAACTGGTGAACTGCCCGCAGAACTGAGGGATAGAGCCAGGACTGAACTTAGAGAGGAACCAGCTCTTAGAGAACAGGCTTTAGAACAAATGAGACACTTTATAGAGAAACATCCGGCCATCAAGAAGTGTAGAACTGGTGAGTAAATGCCTAACTTCAGTAGGTTAGATTTTTGTTTTAAAATTCATAGTAGGTCCACGGTTCACCAAGCGAATCTATAGAGGAGGACACGGGATGCCCAACTCTGTACTAAGTGGATCATTCAAAAAGCCTATCCGTTTTATCTTCTGGCGTTAGTTTCTCTGCCATATAATTATAGTTCAGTTTTTATTAGTGGTTTTCAATGTAGGTACCTATTATCTTTTAAATAGAATATCTTCTTAATATCTTGTACAGTTCACTTTAAAACGAAATAATAGAACTCATCAGTGCACTTCTTCCAATTTGCACCCCTATTTGGTTGGCAAATTGGCTGTATTTCTTCTGAGCTAAAAATAATTCTTTCAATTTAGTAGCGCTTCAGAACTTTTTCTGCATTATCTTCATGGAATTGTGAGCCAAAACTAAAAGAGGTTAAGGTAAAGATTGCCTTGTTCGTTTTAGATTCAGGTCACATGGTATGCAAATGCAGCGTCCGTTACTTCATCGCGTAGCCTTTTAAGTGCAGCTCTCGAATGCACAATGATTGCAGTGACAATCAAGTTTAAAGTAGAACGTATGACAAGTTGGTCACGTGTTGTTTAAAGGATTGTATTTGGATTAATATTATTGGGTACTTTAAATTTCTTATAATTCGGTAAATTAAGATTTCACTTAATTAGTTCGTAGTGGTCCATTCTGCGCCATACATCGAACGGGGGATATTATCAACAGTACTTAACATCATAGGATCTGTTGGAAAACTGACCTCCTTTGCAAAAAAGAGGTTAGAAATCACAATTTAAAAAGTACAGGTTTATCAGGCTTGGAGCTTGTGGACGTTTGCCAAGTATCGGCAAGCGTGTAAACGTACCTACCACAGATGAACGCTGCTGCCCACTTGTCTATGCAAACCGTCGCAAAAAAGTATGGATGATGATAATCGTATCATCCAATCTCGAAGATCTGTATTCTTAACAACAACCTTTTTTTCCAGACACTCCATTCCTTCTCCGTTTTCTCCGAACAAAGAAGTACTCGATCCCGCAAGCGTGTTCCATGCTGGAGAGATACCTCACCATCCGGGAGATGTACCCTCAATGGTTCAAGAAACTAGACCCTCTGGATCCTAAGATCGCTGCGGTTATCGACGCTGGATACCTAGTACCCTTGCCTAAGAGGGACGCTGAAGGCAGACGAGTGGTTCTGTCTTGTATGGGTAAGTTTACAAGGTTGTTGGTTTTTAAGTAAATTTTCCGTGGTGTTTAGTAATTGAGCACCTTAAAGACTGCACAACTTTGAGAACCAGTTGTACGTTTAAGTCATTATGTCACCTACATTTAATTTACCAAGGGGACTGGAAACTATTCCTTTGTTTCTTCTTCTCAAATAATATGCTCTCGTTTATTGCGTTCGATCCTAGACGATTGTCTTGGATTCAATTCAATTCATCAATCGATTCATGGCCATGTGACGCGACTTCAGTCTCCGGTGTTTTCATGGTTGTATCTACTGTAGATCCTGGCTAATTGGATTTGCGGTGGTTTTAAGATGTTTTGAAAGGTTTGTCCTTAAAGAGATTATTCGAGTTAATAACGTACTTTTTGAATTAATCATGGCACTACAAAACGAAGAAGCTTTAACTAAAGTCCTGTAATATAGACGCAAGTTTTTGACGCGTTCCATCGATGTATCAAGCTTTCAAAAACAATCATAATCCCAATCCAAATCAAAACTAGGTAGGTATCTATTAGTATTTTTCTTTTCTAAATTTATTTTCCTCTTTTGTCACCAGGTCGCTTTGATCCTCATCAGTTTGACAACTGCGTGATGGCGCGCGTCCACTCCATGATCGTGGAACTGTTGCTGGACGAGCCTAGGTCTCAGCTGCTGGGCTACACTCACGTCAACGACGAGGCTGGTATGCAGATGCCCCACGTTAGTCTGTGGTCTCTCACTGACGTCAGGGTTATGCTGAACTGTATTCAGGTATAAATAAGTTTACTTTGTGACTTTATATTAACATGATAATAGGTCTCTAATTATGAAATTGCCGTTCTGCAGTACTGGCCAGTACTGCAGAAGACCTATTATTTTTTGTCTGATATCTATGGTATACTTATTAGATAGCTAATTTTCTCATGAATCAATAAAGAGCTCGTTGTGTCTAGAGACTAAGAAGGTAGGTATAGCTTTGCTCGGTTTTTGAAAGGCAGGCACTTGGGCGCTATCACGCCTGGTGGTAAGCAAAGATGCGACCTATAATGGAGCACGCCTACCTATAGATAGGTTTTGCTTATAATAGTGCCTACTATATTCATTCGGACCTTGAAGACTACCAGGTTATAGATACCCTTCAGGGACATAGATTCCGGTCAGGGAAAATATGCCAATTGTCAAATAATATTGGGCCAAATATGTATCGGTCAAATAGATACATATAGAAAAAAATTAAAAGCCCAAATAGATAATCTACCTCCCTACTGACATTTTATTTTGCTTTTGACTGTGGGGTCATAATCAAACTTTAAAAAATCTACCTTTTATGGTCTGCTGTCGTCTGCATGTGTAAACACAAATAGTCTTAATATAGGGCTAAATAATGATTGAACCTTCACAACTCACGAGAATTCGGTTTAAAATTATTAACAAAAAAAAATGTATTTTAACTTTTCAGAATTCAACTCCAATGAGGCACAAGCGTACCCATTTCGTAAACATTCCACACTACGGAGTTAAGTTCTTCGAGTTCGCTGTCTCTTTGCTCAGCGATAAATTGAAGGATCGTGTGATGGTAATTGTTTTTTTTTTATGAATAACATTTTTTTTCAAGTCTATTACAAAAAAAATCATGAGGTCAAGGAAAGAAGTGAGTGAAAAATAACACAGATTACTAAAAGTGCAGCCGATAATACTACTATTCGAGTGAAGTTAAGCTTTGGTTGAAAATATTAAAATACAAATATTCCAATACTAACGAACTTCACGTCGCTTCGGTACTTACTAAAAAGATTAAAAGATTAATTAAATTTTATTTAAACTTGCAACACTAAGTGAACCATAGTGCATACGATAAACTCTGGAGTACAGTCAAGAGCTTTTCAAAGTTTGAAAACAAAGATACCTATAATAAAATATTTTAAATAATTATTATGTACCAAGTTAATATAACTTTAATGATTTCTTCTTTTAAAAAATCGCTTATTGTATGACTTCAGTTTGTGACGATTTTCGTCATTTAGGTACTTATTACATTTGAATATCACAAATCACAATTTAATGTAAATGTCGGTCCTAAGCTGATAATTATGATAAATGTTGCTTTTTGTAATGTTTGGAAAATTTTGTATTATTTGGATAATTACGCAATATTTTTGCAATGACATACTTTGTTTCGAATAAAATTTCGTAAGCTTCTTAGTTTTAGTTTCATTTTACTTTTGATTTGATATTTTCTCATTCACGTTAACTTTAGTGTCCTACCTATCAATAATAAAAGTACCTACCTATCAATAATCGCCATTTTTCTGTTCACAGTTCCACAGAACCAGCGAAGATTTGATGAAACACGTTGATCCATCGGTCTTGCCTAAAGAATATGGTGGTACTGTACCTCTTAAAGACATGATTGAGGAATTGAAACGCAACCTTTTGAAACACAGAGAAGCCTTGTTAGCTCTAGATGACATGTCAGTAGATTTACACGCGTTGGAGAAGAATGATCTAACTCAAGACATACATTCAACAGCAGGATCTTTCAGGAAGCTTGAATTAGACTAAGAAAATTGTAAAATAACTTAAAATATGCGTTTAAGAAACATTTATTGTTATTGATTATTGTGTTAAAGAAACACTTTCATTGAATGTTTGTTGGGCTGGACGAATAGCGTAGACATTATTTTATTACTTTTAAGTAACAAGAACTTCTTCAAATCTTGCTTTGCTTTCAAAATAAATTAGGTATTATAATTAATTTTAGTTCAATAATCATTTTGTGATGGCTATTGTTAGTTACACTTAATCCGTTGTAAGTACGCAATCAAATATATCATGTATGCAAATAGATCTCATTCACTGTTATTAGATATTTTTTATATGGAAGAATGTTCATTTTGTTATAATAATTGCTTTTAAAGTTGTATATTTTTGAGACTACATTTTATGGCAGTTTGCACTATAATTAATTCTCTAAGCCTACATTTATTTTATTTTAGTAACTATTATAGAGAGCTTGTGGCAGCCGTCGGTGGTGTCACGTTACCATTCTTTACGGAAGGTTCTGAAAAATAATGTCATTGTATTCAGCTGCAATGAGTGGAACTTAATAACGATTAGATTTTCTCGTATATTTAAGATAATTGCCAACATGACAAACTGACTGCTGCATTAAATTATTCACCTTTTTATTGTGAAAGGGCCACTTTGTAACAGCGCTTTTTTGTAGTAAACATTATTGTTATTGATTATCATTACCGGTTATGTGAGTCATCTGAAGTATTGGGTACATAATATTTTAAGAATAAAATAATAAAGTAAATTAAAACAAGTCTATTATTTTATTATACTTAAACATTCCCTTATCAATATCAACATTATTTCCATCAGACACTTGCAATATGAAATATTCAGCGTTCATTCTTAGCCAGGTGACTGGGATTGTATTATTTTAAAGTCATTAATTTGCAAAACAATCAAATTTAAAAAAAACAAAATTTTGTGTATTCGACTGTACATAATGTGCCAAAAACTAGAATTGACCATAGACAAATACCATAAGTAAAAACGCGTGTATTTAATACATAGACAATATACGAAAAATGTCATAGACTATAGACGGCCTTGAATTGCGAGCGATATGATGCCAACTTCGCTGTAGTTTTTCCCGCAGTTTGGCGTCCACATAGATTGATAAAAAAATTATTAGCACGATTTTTCTATGTATTTAGATCAATAGGACATTTTTCAACCCTTATGATTTACTTTCCAGTGTCGTGTTCATGAAACAATTATGCTATAATAGTGAACAGTTTGTTTGACTTGAAATATTGTGGTGGATTTTGTAAACATCGGGACGTGAACGCAGGCCCACGTCTATGAATTCTTGTACGTATTCTAGCCATTATAGTTTTTTCTTCTCTGTTTATGTGTAATCAAGATGCAGATTCGGTATATTTTGGTGTAATTTGGGGCAGATAAGGTGGATTAACCTCTTAAGTTTGTATTGTTTGCTTGGTCGTAAAAACTGGGTCTGCCATAATCTAGCATAATTTGATTGTTGTTTAAACCACGAGCACAGCAACAGGGTAGGATAAATATCACGTTCGCATTGATATTTATGTGAGAAAACCTGGAGTTATGACTGAATTAGATCGACACGTCATGTTTTATGTTTCTAAACATCATCAGTGATGTTGTTTTGAGGATGTGGTTTTTTATTTTTCACGATCGTTCACAATCAATAAAGATTTGCGTGATTAGCTGCCAGCCTCATGTTAGGTCAAGTACAGATAAGAGGATTTAGGTATAGGTTATTGTTTATTGCTAAAAATGTTGAATCAATGCATGTTGTGGTCATGACCACTTTGTTCCAATATGTCACGACGCTCGCTAGGTATACAGTATTGGAACTTCATTAATCCTCAATGCCTTGGCCGACTTTTTGTTAGTACTGTATATTTATGGTTGTTGCACCCAAAACTGGGATATGAATCCCATATTCTAGATCTTTCCATGTCCCTTCAGAGTAAATCTGATCATCAGGTGTACATTACCCCTGTTTCAATACCTTGACCTACTTTAAGTGCAAAACTTATGATGTTAACAGTGTAAATGCTTGATTTTAAGTGGTCTCTAAGACCTGTGAGTAGAAAACAGGAAAATAATAATATTTATTTTGTTTGAATGAAAATGCTATCCGAACACACCTTGATTGTTGCTTGATTGTGAGTTGGCCGATAAGGGATAAAAATTGTCTTTCATGTTCATAACACACTTATGCTTATGTGGTGCGATGTGATGCTCTTGAGTGTTAAAGAACTGTGGTAGTGCTTGTAATGATCACACTACTAAGAAAATTGTCCAGAGTTAGTTAATAGTTTTGTATAATTGTTTCTATTTCTTTTCTAATGACAGTAGCTATTAGAAGACTAGTATTGACATATTGTGTGATGTTTACGTTTACAACTGGTTCTTGTTCCAATTAAACAGATGGCTAGTTTTTGTCATCCTTTGAGTTTCTAGTACTTAAGTACTCAATTACCACATTACGTACCTATTTTCTTTAAAAACAAACATTGGCATTAAGTTGCTTTTTGTTCTATACGTCATAAATTAAACTTGGATAGCAAGTATTTCTAGACTATAATGATCACATTTACAAACTCCCTTGGCAGTTAAATCTATTTGTTTTTTCTTTCATTTCAATAATGGAGCTGCTTACAGGTCATTTTATTTCATTATTGGATATTGTGCAACCTTATTTTATGCCTGGGTCTGTTCCATCACCTTCATGAAGGTGATGGAACAGACCCTAGACCTATATGAATATAAGTATATGGTATACTTATATGAAGTTATGTGACATATAGTCCAAATAAATTATGTTCTGTATTTAAATTTATTTGTTTCATAATGTCTGGATAGCCACCATAGTTTGGCTTGTAAGAATGTTCTATAAATTATAATTAATAAATAGTTGTATGTTTAAGTGTTACTGTTATGTTCTCATATGTTCCTATTTCTGCTTATCTCTGTACCCCCTACTTGGGGTCAAGCAGTGCAACAAGTTTTTCAAAACTCTCATATCAAGTATCATCACAAACACTTGTTAGCCAACATTCAAACAGTTTGGATAAACAGGTGTCCTAGTTTTCAAAGTTGTAGTACAGGATACTTGAGTTGAGTCCTTGAGTGGGACATGATAGATATTGTAATTTTTTTTTGTGATAGAAATGTGGACTATAACTTTCAGTTTTTTTTTTAACTTGCCCAGCCCATCAGGATTTTCTCCTGAGTAATGGTTGCATTTGCAAACATACAATTTCACATACACTCCACACCCAGACCTAGTGCAATAATTTGTGGTTCACTCAGTGTTGTTCTGTGTGAGAATCGAACACGCGACACATTGCGTGGCAGCCAGTTGCTCAGCCATCCCACCAACCATGCAGTCAAAATTTGGTATGGCAGATGGGTAAAATACTGTCATTCATTGTGTTTGTTAAAAATAAATCAGTTTGGTTTATTAAACTATACTTAATATTACAATATATTTATGTGGATAATATAAGAAAGGTACAAAACTACTATAAAAACTACTGACTATAAAAAAATTAATTACACCACCCAATAGATTAACATATTATTTTTAATCAAGACCACCTTAAACATTAGTTTGGGAATATCATTGTGGGTAAAATGCATTTAATAGTTAGGAGAGCAGGTCCATGATAATCCTGGACCATTTTTAAATTGCATCTAATAGAAAAGGTAAAACTGTTAGTTTAATAGACCACAAATAAATCACTAACTATCCAAATCAGTCCTAAGTGTAACACAAAAAATTAAAACTAAGTACCTGTTATTATTAGCAATTTTTGTATGTTGTATTTTTGCTAAAGCCTGATAGGGTTGCAACTTTCCACTAGTAATAACAGCTACTAATGATCAAGATGTACTGGTGAGCATTGTTAAAGTTTATTAAATTTCTGGTAGTTTTTTTGTTATTACCTGCCTATGTCTGATTATCTGAACTGGACCAATTGATTGGCATAACTCAAAATAGGAACTAGTAGACAATGTCAAGCAAAAGAGGAAAATATTACAACTTCTTACATAATCAAATGAAACAATACTAGGGCGTAATTTTGTTCACTATGTTAAGATTCCAATACTCAAGTGTGGTGCTTTAAATGAACATTAGTCCAGAACATTGAATCTTAACTTTTAACACTTAGAACACGATGTCGGACAATGGTGTCCGACACTACTGGACATTTTTTGTCAGCAGGCAAATACTTAACATGTCAATACATATAATTTTGGAAATGCATAGTGCATACAAAAAGTGTGTCATAACATCTTTGAAACAGTTACAAGATCCTTCTCAAAAAGCCAACAAGACACTTCAAACTCATTGGTATTTTGCTTTGTGATTGATCTGGTCATTTGCAGACCTACGCCGAAAGTGCATTTTTAATTAATATTAGAGACAACTGAACAGTTATTTGTACACTAAGCAACAAATTATACTGCAACTGAATCATAAAACATTTTATCTACTACCACCTCCCCTTTCGGGTGTGTGAAAAACAAACAAATGCGTATAAAAAAAGGTAAAAAATAACTACAGTAAAGTGTTAAAAATAAGTGATTAAATTAATATGTTAACTAAATTAATTTATTATTAATGTCATTCAATGGTAATCAATCAATACTTTTATTTTAAAACGAGCTAAACAAAGAGACAGAATTATTATGCATGTCCCACATATTATTGCCATTTTAATTTAATATGTATTTTTAAATATTTTAAGTTCACATTTACCTAATGTTTTATACTGGGCATTTTATAACACTGGGTGCAAGAGATGATCTTGAGATGTATTTTAGTATTTTTTTTTTGTTTTATGTAGGTTTAGGACCTGTTTCAAAATGTGGTATTTCAGACAATAATTCTATCTGTGTGCCAATTTTGATCAAACTCCATTCACTTTTACATGAAATAGTAACAAAAAAAGAATGTTTCCATCCACTCTTACCAACTTTCGCATTTTAAGTCGTGTCCTGGCTTTCTCATGATATGTTAGCTCTACTAGTATTATTCAGTATAATGTACATCAAAGTGTAAAAAAGTCACATTGGTATTTGTCAGGTTCCTCTGGATGCGATCTTTTATCTACGGACCACTACCACCATATATCATTTCAGTTAGACAGAGACATCAAACTCGACAAATTCCGAACTAACCAAAAAAGGCCTACGGGCTATGTAGTGGTGACTCATCTGATGTTGTGGGTGTCCATGGGCGACGCCGATTGCTTACTATTTGTTGATCCATTTAAATCTAGTCAGAAGTTGTGAATGTTTGGAACCTCCAATATTGTATGTCCCCCTCCATACTTTAATAAGGCCATGCTTAGGTAATTGTATGTGACTAAATAAAAGGCAAAAAAGTATCGAACCTCTTTCTAAATAAAGGAGGTTGAATTTTACTTGCAAAGTTCTCCCAAAGTATTTTTCTTTCATCTTGTTTAACATTATTTCTAAGGCTTCAATGACTTTTCGTTGTTTCGAAACGGTGTGGACCTTTGTAAGAATTGTTAGTATGGGTTTATGGTTTTCACCACTTATAATGAGGTGACATTTTAATGATAAATTATAAATAACTTTGTGATGAACTGGCCTTTTAAAAAATTTTTTAGATGTATGTGAAGTTTCACCAGTATTAAATAACTATAATCTTTATTTATCAGTCTCTATAATGAGCCATAATAAATTGAATGTCCATAAAT